CCCCCCTCCCCCCACTACATGAACGACTAAAAGTTCAAACCACGGACCTCCCGAGCCCCACGAAGCACGACGCCGCAGCCTCCAGGATCCCTGCCGCCTCATCGGCATCCGACCCGTGCCACGCCTCCCACGCCCACCCATCCCCATAGCCGCGTTCTTCGTCACCCCCCGGGGAGAGGTCGTTCTCACGTCCTTCACCGGCGCTCTCGACTGCCCCACCGGGGTGATGGCCGCGCAACCCCGGCCAGTGCTTCCAGAAGGCGTCGGCACACGCGGTGTGGTCGCCCCTTCTCCAGTAGCGTCTCAGGACGATGAGAAGGGGTGTTGGTAGGCGAGAAGGACTCACGGCCAAGCCTTTGAGGAAAGAAGCGTTGGTCGTCTCGGGGGGAAAGGATAGGCCTTCCCCTTCGGCTATTGCTGACAGAGGTCGGAGGGCGAGGAAAGTGGTGGTGGTGCGGGGGAGCGTGGGGTGTACTCATTTGGTGCCTTGGCATTGATGGGCGTTCGAGCAACTACCATCCACCCTTTTCAACATGAAGAATGGTACCAACTCCAAACAGAGACATCCTGGCGCGATACCCTTTCATCACGTGCTTTCCGCAAGAATTTCTCCAGTAAAGACCCTTGGCAAATGATAGACGGGGGTTTGTAGATCACGCTTGCGACCAGAAGGCGATTGCCCCTGGACGACCACACTGCAGGCACTCCGTGGACCATTTTGTGCCTTGTTTACTGTGAGGACACCTTCCCTCCTCCCCAATCGCCGGTGAAAAAAGACGACAACTACAGCACCTTGTAGCACCTACTCGTGACAAACTGCTGGAACGACACGACACCATCCGTCGTTGTCGTGCCTTCTTTCACTCCCCTTCCCGTGATCCGCGTTGTTTCTGATCCCTCTTACCATGTTGGGCTGCATCCAGATTTCTCCACAGCATCGCAACGTCGAGGCCTGGCTCCTTATGTTTCCCTGATGTGGCCAACAAGGCGGCTCTCTCCATGAAAACGACTCCTTTCGTACTCCTGGCATGAAGGATGAGGCAAACGGCATATCTCAGACGTAAGACGCACGTCACAGAAGCACGACTCATGTTGTCTTCGCCCTATAAGATGCCGGCGATGCGCACTTCAACTGAAGTGCAATTGTCGCACGGCCACCTCTTCCATACTCTTTGGGGGAATCATCAGCTGATCTCATCAAAACAGTCAGGTTGAAACGTTGTGTCGGTAGGAGAAGCGGTTCGAATCCCGTGTTTCGCTCGTCGCTCAAGGGGCTGGTAGACGCGAGAATCACGAAGTACGTTTCCTACACAGGCGCACCACACCATCCATTTACATGTCGCACTCTTCGTATATAGTGGGAGATTTTGAAGCACAAGATTAGTTGTTGTATCCAGGGCTTCATAACCGCGGAAAAACAGCGCGGCAGTGCAAGCACACAACCTGCTCGCGAAGCGCGCGAGGCTCACCTCCCCAGGAAGTGCAGAGCCACCCCCCTCATGTGCAACGCTTGGGCGCTCAGTGGGTTGCCAGCCAGCAACCTGCCCGTCGCCGATAGCGCGTCCTCGATACCCTCCGTGGTCCCCGTCTCGACCCACATCATCGCCGCCTCCACCGCGCGTGCGACCATACCCTTGGCCGCTGTAGTCATCTGCTCCCCTGCGTCGTTGATCCCCCTGTTCCACAGTGCGCCACGGCTGCTGCCGCTTGGTAGAGAATCATCATTCTCGTCGAATGGTAGCCGTAAGGGCGGCAAAGCGCCCTGCGTCGGGTCCACCACTGCGGCCGGAGGAGGGTTGGGGGCGGGTGGAGGGGGGTGTCTTGTAAGAGGTATTTTATGCATCAAGACAGTAAAAGGGGGATGGGCGAGGATCGGATAATGTTCCTCTCTCCTCCCGTGTGTCTTCTAGCGAACGTCACATGCTTTCTCTGGACGAGAGTGGGCGGGTGGTTTGGACACGTATTCGTCTCCTATGCATGCGGCACTGATTTGTTTGGTGTCGGGAACGCCATGCATCCTCCTTCAGACGGGGTCGGGGGTTGGGGGCCGCTTGCATGTGCAGCTCACACAGTAACCTATTTCAAAATGGCGCAACGTACGATTGAAACAGACTGCGGTTACCTATGTGGCTGGGTGGTAGCCCCAACTCCCTCTGCTCCCACATGGCCTCGTATGCCCTCTCCAGGTTTCTCGTGGTGAGGCGTGTATCGAAGAGGGGGCTGTTCATCGCCCTCGACAGCAGCCTGGAACGGTGTAATGCATTGACAAGCATAGATGAGGCTTACAAGCTGCAAAGAGGTTACCCGAGTTTGACGGTTGCAATCTGCTTCCGGTTGCACTAGCCTACTAGGGGGGGGGAAGGTGCGAAACTTGTGACGCGGCGTGAAATCTATGCTAGGTACTATGCGGACCACGATGTCGGCGAAGAAATTCGACAACGGCGCGGCCAAACCAAAGCACGCGAGCATGGCGTTTGTTTTTGCGGTATGATGCCGCTGCTTGCCCCCTCTCACAGAGTAATGCCAGATATGCCGCCGCAAGCGGCCGCGTCTATTGCTAAAAACAACAAGCGCGACATGACCAGAAATGTTCAGCATGCTTCATGAGCGTTGAGCACGAACCACAAGGAGCGTGGCCTGAAACAAGGAAGTACGAAGTGAACAGCTTTTGCAGCACCCCCCAAGGCGTGCTACCACTTGTTCTGACCTTTTCCTCAGGGTTGCCAGCCTCCCCGGAGACTGCACCAACGCCACCGCCGCGTTCTCGAGGTCTTTGACACTGTGAAATGAAAGCTCGTCTAAGCCTAACGCCGAGAGAAGGGACGTTCCGACGCGGCCTGACATTTGCCCTGCCGGCGTGTCGTCTGCAAGCAGACGACGTGGCAAAAGAAACAGCGGAGGAGACTGAACGAGGGGGAGGGGTATCATTTTTTTACCGTTGACATGCATCCCTCTTGGGGAGGAACACCGAGGGGGGGGAAGACGGGGGGGCACCAACTTCTTTCATTCCTGAGCAGTTTTGATTCGACCATGTCGCGGCGACGAGGCGGTTCGTAGGTGAACACCGTCCAAAATACGGCGACAAAACGTACACAACGTGCATGCGTTCTCCTGCTGGTCTAGGTTGCATACAAAAGGACCACAGTTTGTGGACAAACCATTCTCGGTGTTCATTGAGAGACATCTCTCCGACCGACGAGTATCGTAAAAGTGCGAATCATCGCACCCCCCCAAGACCGGCTTTCACAGCTCAATGACCCCACAAGCAAGTGGACACCTACGCCTAGAAGAGTGGCCTTGGAAACATCTCATCGAGAGCTTGCTTTCCTTGTACGCACACATCGGTCAAGTTTTTCTCACCCACCTAGTTATGGACCAACCGAGCTTTGAAGGCGGTCTCGGGGGTGTGCGATCACTCGTATTTTTTCAAGTATTCTATCCAGCTACCCTGCTCAGGTTTATTTCACGCGTTCTTTCGTCGCAACGCGTGCTAGGCGGTATTGGCTCACCGACGCCGTAGCCTCTCAGCGTGAGGAGTGGCAAGCCTGCCCAAAGAGCGTCTGCCGCGGTGGTGTGCGCGCCGTAAACAAAACTGTCGACAAACAGGTCGCAAGAGCCGCTGACGCGCTTCGCGTTGCATCGCAGGGGGCATCAACGGGAAGGATTTGACAGAAAGAGGAAAGGGCGGGAGGAGAGATCGAATGACTTGAAGCATGAACCACCTTTGCTGATTGAAAACTAGACCAATCCCGAGTGCGAGCGGTTCAAGGGGATTCATAAAAAAAAGTGTCTAGAAGTCACACATCAGTTTGCATTTGCCTGTACATCTCTGGATCTCCTTACCCAGACGTGGTCTCGTCGCGTCAGGAGTTCGTCGAGCCTTATTCTATCCGGGTGCACACCCATCGCCGCCGCCTCCGCCTTAAGGTTGACCTCCACGCCATCTTCTGGGTCTCGGGCAGAGCCTAGCAGTAACAAGACGCTTCCAGGGACTCTGACGAGTAGGACGCGGTGTTAACGATCGATGTGTTGCTTGAGTCGGATGGCGAGTGTGGATGTGGCGTAAAGACGGTAGTCAAAATAGCATTGTTGTGTGGGTGGCTAGTGACATACAGCTTGGAGCTCGCATTCGATCCATCCCCACCCGGCGTGTGGTGTGAGCCGGGATACATCATCAAGTCAACCTGCTGTGTCCTTGTAGGGCCGAAAAACTTAAGCTTGTGCTACCGCTCGAACAGTCGCTTAACTCCAACCATCGTGGGTTCCCGTCGTCCGAAACGAAACGAAACCACTTTGTTCCAGACTCGTGGTCGACGCTGATTCGTGTCTCGGGCACGGTCGGTTTGTGGAGGATGCCACGAGTTGTAGAGCCGCACTGATGCGTATTCAGCTACTTCCAAGGACACGAGCCTCGACATGGAGTAAGCGATATCCCTCCCGTACGAAACCCATCGCCCTTCTTTACCCCATTGTCGAGGTTGGCATACGCAACTAAGCGGTACAAACACCGGAAAAAACAAATTTCCACCACTATCCCAGGTGGTACTGTTTGGTGTAGCCGAACAAACACATCGTGGGACGTGGGGGGGGAGGGGGGGGGCATCTTCGGCGCTTACTTTTGCAGGGGGGATCGACTTTGCATGGCGGACACCTTTTGATGATGTTCATGAAGACTGTGAAGGACTCGGGTTCCATCTTGTGGATGCTGTTGTAGTTGCATAAGACAGGCCCTCGGCCCCCCCGAGGGGCCAGGAAGCCATCAAGCCCCCTTGATTTTCTGGTGAACGAAAAAGTTTAGGGTTGCATCGCCCGAAAGGGACGAGGGGTAGTGTGAGACGATGCCGTTTCTGCTTGAAAAAAAAACGAAAGTTCGTTCATCGAAGGGTTTCCTAGGAATGGGATGATGGGAAGGGGGAACTGTCGGACAACGCGTGGCAAACATCGAGAACGCCCATTCAAGTGCCTATCGTGGTACGAGCAATCATTTTCAGCGCCGTGCCGCTGTCGTTCGTGTTGGCGTGTATTAACTACGCTCTCTTGTTGACTTTGAAATAATAGTGGAACTCCACTGCGCAAGTGCTGTTCTTTGATCGCCAGCCCAGCAAATGTCTGCCAAACCTGGTTCAAGCTGGCCTCCATTCGCTAAGGTCTACCTCGAACTGCGGTAGTCGTGCTCGGTGGTAGCTGTGCGTGCTTCTCGGCCGAATAAATTGCGCGTGCTTCACTGACTAGAGTACGGGGGGGACGCGTGCTACTTAGTCCAGTCAACTGCGCTCGATCGCCTTGCCGCTTGCTGGCGCTACCTAGTAAATCTGCTTGCTATGGTGACGCTCGCATGTGTACCAGACGTTTCAATGGACTACGCAGGCCAAATCTTGCCTGACGGAAGCCTGGCATTCTCCAAGACCTTCCCCCCCGGGGCAAAAACCGTATGACACGTTGTAGTTGTTGACCTGGTAGCTGTGGGGGAGGTAGACCATTTTTTCTGAAAACCCGACGTTTGCCAGCTCGGGCGGGACGGTCGTCTGAAGGAAACAAGCAGGTTGTATGCGTATGGAGGTTATCATTGATTGTTGGTCGGCTGATAAAAATTACAGGAAACACCACACCACCATATCAAGAAAAGACGAAAAGACGACAACGAACGGAAGACACATTTACCACGCTGATTTTCAATTTTCTCAGACGAAGTGGACAAAAACGAGCCAGGACGATGTTTGTTGTCTCACCCTGTCAGCGATGGTGTAGTCGGTATACTCAGCTCCTACCGTTCCGGGAAATCCCAGGTAACTAGCCACCACTGGAGCCGGCTTCAGGGCCGGAATGCCGGGCCTGTACCAAACACATTGACATGAAACGTGGTAACAAATGGAAAGCGATAGGGTAGATTGTACTGCGTATGATTTCTTCTTTGTGGCAATAACTCCTTCTTGGTGTATCTCGTTTGCGATAACTCTTTAGTCTAGTGGTGCAGCATTATCTCATTCACGGCGGTTCTTCTTGATGAGTTAATTCCGCCAGCAAGGTGCAGCGGTGACCCGGTACATCAACTCTCAACCGGTTGATGAGTCACCGAGGCACACCACCTGATGTCCAACCCACCTCGCTCCCGTCGTATGTCCCATGAGGTCGACAAAGATCTCGGGCCGCTCGGCCGCTATTGCCTTGGCGGACTCCGCGTGTCCTGCCAAAGAAACATCCAGGAATTTTCCTGCGCAGGTCTCTGCACTGCGACGCACGGGGCTCCCGTCGTCGGGTCCGTACGAAGCGGCCACAGCGAATACTCGATTGTGGGCCTGTGCGACCAAGTACCACCAAGGAGACGGATTGTACATTGTTTTCTTATTGTACAGTCATTCATTATTTGTCGTTATAAATACAGTTCTCAGCATTTCCCAGTATTCCGGACGAACCGGCTGGATCGACCAAAGAAAAACGTAAAAGGTTTCAAGAGGGATTGATAGATACCACGACATGTAGTCAGGAAATAACCTGAGCTTCCAAAAAGAATCAATCTGCGTCCCCTCGTCGCCTGCCCCTGTCTGTCTCCCTCCACCTTTTCAGTTCCGTTTTGACCCCGATCAACAACATCCGCGGAGGGGCAAAAGCATCAACTGCCACGCTTACGACAAACTCGCCACAAAAGAGACCCGGAGAAAACCACTAGTTTCAGCTTTGAACGCATACGCATTCTGCTTACCCTCCGGAAAAGTGATCTATTTTTGTGTCCGGTTCGGCCAACGGAATGAAGCACGCCAATCAATGTCAAACACGCAGGGTACGTACCACAACAGGTTTCAGCGATGGATCTCAAACGTTTGTTGGCGATATTTCAAGTAATGATCCTCCCCCGCAAGAGGGGCAATCGTGAGGCCAACCATCTCTTCGAGGAGAACGTGGCGGGGCGTTAGCCCGCGCCGTTCCAACAGGCCAAAACTCTTCTTACCTGGTGGCTACAGAACAACCCTCTGGTCAGGTGTCCCATAGCATGGTCGCGGTAGTCGTAGCTCCAGTACGCAACCACGAGCCCGGCTCCTGCTGCCGCGCGCCTTCTAACCTCCTCTCCGTTGCCGTTACCTGCTTCGATGCCCTGCCTTCTCAGCCACTCGTCGAAGCTGATCGAGTCTTGCTGGAGCCCGCGCCCCTGTCCCAATGCTTCTCCCCGTCGGAAGGAGAGCCTCCGCGTGTGCTCTTCCGGAAGGGGCAGACGCTCAACACGGTCAAATTGCTGCGACGCCAGCCGGGCCAACCCCAGGTGCTGGGATGGCTTGAGTTCTCCTGTTTGTTAATCGTGTTTTGTGGCGCGTTTGTTTGAAGTCAAAATACGAGACAAGTTTGATGCTGGCCGGACTGGTTCCACACGACAAAAATAGTCTAGGTTTAGTCCCACAACGGGTTGTAATCAAGGACTTCGAAGGTGTCGATGGTAGGAAGACGTGAGGTTAAGGTGCAGAAATCGGCCGTGGGAGCGGTTCTTGGGATATATTGGTAAGTTGATTCCGCTTCCCAATCCTTCCGGCGACTCGCCGAACACCTACCTCAAGGTGATTTGCGTTTGGCCCTGTCATTCCTTTGTACGGATGCAT